AGATAGATAGATAGATAGATAGATAGATAGATAGATAGATAGATAGATAGATAGAGCGAAAGGGGAGAGACAGACAGACATACAAACAGACAGACGGACAGATGATCAAGGAAAATGACATAATAAGAAACACCCAGGAAGTGCTGGGTGTCTGAAGTAAGAGGACCTGTATAAAAGTCAATAACTAGGCTGTTATGGGACCAAATTTAACCAAACTTTGATTTTAAAAATCAACTAAAGCGATGATGTGAACTCATTGCTATGAAGAAAAAAAAAAGTTTTTTTAAATTTCAACCAAAACTGTAAGAAGCTCGAAACTTTGCAACATTTTAACCAACAATTAATAGGCTGTATGATGTGAAGCACACATTTATATGAAATTGGCAATCAAATAATATGGTAGCAAAGATCAGGAAGGCATCAAGAACTATTGGTAGAGACCTAAGTAACTTTGAATATCTGCACAAGACAAACGTTCTAAAAAAGGCGGAAATGATGCTTAGTGACCATGGGTACCCACTGGCATCGGAATTTCAACTATCGTCCCTGCAGCAAACGATACATTTCCAAAAAAGCAAGAACAGACAGATATAGAAATTTATTTGTACCAACTGCAGTGAGGTTACTGAACCCACAGTGCTACAAATGATTCAGAGAGAGAGAGACTCTCTCTCTCTCTTTGTATGTTATTTTATTGCAAGGTTTTTTTTTCTCCGGGAACACTTCATTAATGACTGAAAACGCAAGAAAAGGAAGGAGCAAACAACAAATAGCGGCAACAAAGTTTCCGCTGTCTCGTTAGTTTATAATGCTGTTATTATGCATGTGATTTCTACAGTTGTTGTTTGTTGTTGTTGTAATTGTTGTTGCTGCTGTTGTTTTTGTTGGAAATGGAAATGGGGCTCAACAGGCAGACTATCAGAAAAAGATCCCACCAAAATACAAACGAAAAAAAATAAAAAAATAGAAAAAGTGAAGATGTAAGCCAAACCACAAGTAGCATCTAATCACCCATACTGTGGAAACAAGGAAAAAGACACAATTAGAAGAAAATAAAAATAAAAAAGAGTAAATGAGAAACAAAAAACAATTATTATATCCTAACAAGGTAGAAAAGCAATAAACTATATATAACTTAGGAAAGAGTAAGAAATGATGCCAAGGAAAAAAAAGCAAAAACAGACAGTAATAATAAAAACATACCTACGCCAGGAATGGGAAGAGTAGGCAAGTGACAAAGAGACCTAGTAGAAAAGAAGAAGAAATAAAGAATAAAGAGAAGGTAAAAGTACCTAATCCCGTTCCAGACATGACTCCCTGTGTGAACGTCTGTGCCAGAACTGAATGCTGGACCGTCCATAGACCAAGCAGAGTGCTGAAATCATAAGTGACTATACCCAACAGCATCGTCAGTGGTGTACCGCATCTGCTGCTCACTGCAACGGTGATTAGCCGGGTTAAATCATATATATATA